TTTTCAGTTTGATTGTTGTTACAGATTGGTTCTAATGTGGTCTGAAATTTTGAATCTTGTAACATTCTTTGTATTTGTTTGCTCAAATCTCATAAACCCTTTTTGATTGTTTTCAAATTGATGTTTTTCAACTCAATTGCAAAACATGTTGAGTTGTGTCTATTACCGAAGCAAAATGTTCATGTATGTATGATCGGTTTCTAATGTGTTGTCTGATTGTGAAACATGTTGAGACAAGTTGTGTTTATATGTCTCAGTGAAGTTAATCTTGCTCTCTTGTGGATGTGTTTCTCAGGTATGTAGCTGTTGGGAATGAGCCATTTCTTAAATCATACAACGGATCATTTATAAACCTCACGTTCCCTGCGCTTCAAAACATTCAAAACGCTTTAAATGAAGCCGGAGTAGGAAATGGCGTCAAAGCAACAGTCCCTTTAAACGCGGATGTATACGATTCACCAGCAAGCAACCCTGTGCCATCTGCAGGAAGATTCCGTCCTGATATCATCGGTCAGATGACTCAGATTGTTGATTTTCTTGGCAAGAACAACGCGCCCATCTCGATTAACATCTACCCTTTCTTAAGTCTCTATGGGAATGATGATTTCCCACTCAATTACGCCTTCTTTGATGGCGCTCAACCGATAGATGACAATGGTATTGATTACACAAACGTTTTCGATGCCAATTTCGACACTTTGGTGTCGTCTTTGAAAGCTGTTGGTCATGGAGATATGCCAATAATCGTTGGAGAAGTCGGTTGGCCAACTGAGGGTGACAAACATGCAAATACCGGTTAGATTTCTAACATTTTCAGTGCCCTTTCGATCCAATTTCACATTCATGAAATGTTTTTATTGATTTTGAAAACGTTTTTTTTCACAGGCAATGCTTACAGATTCTACAACGGGCTTTTACCGAGGCTTGGAACAAACAAAGGTACTCCATTGAGACCAACCTACATTGAAGTATACTTGTTCGGATTACTCGATGAGGATGCAAAAAGTATAGCACCAGGAGAGTTTGAACGCCATTGGGGAATATTTAAATTCGACGGGCAACCAAAGTTTCCTATAGATCTATCAGGCCAAGGACAGAACAAGTTCTTGATTGGTGCACAAAACGTGACATATCAACCAAACAAGTGGTGTATGTTTAATCCAGCAGCTAAAGATTTGACAAAACTCGCGGCTAACATAGATTTCGCCTGCACTTACTCGGATTGCACGGCTCTTGGTTATGGTTCTTCCTGCAATAACCTCGATGCGAATGGGAACGCGTCGTATGCGTTTAACATGTACTTTCAAGTGAAGAACCAAGATGAGAATGCTTGTATCTTCCAAGGTTTGGCTACTGTTACAACACAGAACATATCTCAGGGACAATGCAATTTCCCTATTCAGATTGTTGCTTCAACAG